TTGCCGCCTGTGTTCATCATTTATTTCAGGGCTGCAAACTTGTGATTTTTCTCATTCCATCATTCTTTGTGTATTTACTTGTTGGAGTTTTTCTAAATGAAAAACTTTCTTTCATTAACTATTTAGTTATCTCAAAGTAATGAAAGACAGGATAAATTCTGATATATTTTTCCCCTCTCCTTAAAAAAAAATCAATTTACAGAGTAATGAGTTGGTGCTCTGACAACCTCCAAAGCAATCCACTGAATCTTATTTCTTTCCCTGAACAGTAAGGAAGAAGCTCTAGGCTGTCTAGAGCTTAGAAAAAAAGTGTTTATAGCAACATTCTCAATAATGGCAAGTTATGGAAAGAGCCCAAGTGCCCATCAACTGACTAAGGATAAAGAAGATAAAGATGAATGGATGTGTGTACACACACACACACACACACACAAGAATATTACTCAGCCATCAAAAAGAATAAAATCTTGCCATTTGGAATAATGTGGATGGAGCTAGAGTGTATTATGCTAAGTGAAATAAGTCAGTCAGAGAAAGACAACCATATGATTTCACTCATGTGGAATTTAAGAAACAAAACAGATGAACACAAGGGAAGAAGAAAGAAAGGGAGGCAAACTATAGACTCTTAATGATAGAGAACAGACTGACGGTTGCTAGAGAAGAGGGGGGTGGTGGACGGGCTAAGTGGATAACTGATATTAAGGAGGGCACTTGTTGGGATGAGCACTGGGTGTTATATGTAAGTGATGAATCACTAAATTCAATCCTGAAACCAATATCACACCATATGTCAACTAGAATTTAAATAAAAACTTGACACAAAAATAAATAAATAAAGTGACAGGATGGGCATTTTCCCCCCATTGTTTCACCTTAATAAGAAATTATCAGGCACTCATGCTTAGTAAAGGGACGTAGATGCATAATGGGGTGAACGAATAACTCAACAACAGGCAGGAGATGAGGAAGGCAAGCATCACTTCTGATTGTAGTGCAACATGAGACCGGGAGGGAAGACAAGCAATGGCCTTGGTATTGGCAAACATTGCAGAAGTCCTTGCATAAATTAAGAAGCTTGAAACCCTAGATTTCTACTACTCAGGTGCATTTATCTCCTAGCTGAGTGGGGCGACCAACTCACCCCAGTTTGCCTGGGGTTTTTCCAATCACAGAACTCAAGTTTCCTCATCTCAAGGGCTATCTGAAGCCTTGCAAACTGGAATGGTCACTCCAGCTAAAACGAATCTTTTTACTTCCATGATATGTGTATCTTTTTTTAATTAAAAACTTTATTTTTGAGAGAGAGAAAGAGTGTGATTGGGGGAGGGGCAGAGAGAGAGACAGAGAGAGAGAGAGAGAGAGAAAGGGAGACACAGAGTTTAAAGCAGATTCCAGGCTCCGAGCTATCCACACAGAGCCCAACATGAGGCTCAAACTCCCAAACTGTGAGATCATGACCTGAGCTGAAGTCGAAGTTGGACGCTCAACTGACTGAGCCACCCAGGTACCCCCAAAATGTGTGTATCTTATGTTGAGTTTTATAACTGAGGAGCATAAATGCAATTTCCTTAATCTGCTGGCCCATTTTATTACTTTTCCCTTTCTTCTCCTTTGTGATCACCAGCACATGCTTATAAAGGACTATAAGGGAAAGACTATGTTCTATACTCAAGGACAGAAACAGTGAGGTCACCAGACCAAATGGGGATCAAAACATCGCTGTTAGGATCACTAACACCTTTTAAGTTAATCTAGACATAGGGGTTGGGAATACTGTTGTCTACATAAATGTTTTTATATTTGCATTTTATCTTGTGGGGAAAAATAATCTTCTGAAAAATCATTTTGTTTTAGGCTTGAAACTGAGTTGACTACATTGCTAAAGCTATACCACTCAGTTCTCATTCCACGTGGCATCTACCTAGAATCTATGATCCTGCACATATCTTTGAACTATATCTTGGTAAATATAACATTTTATAATATTTAATACAACCAAGTGGCCCCAGTTGACTAAAAGCAATAATTTTGACACATAAGAGGTTTCCTTTCATCATCTGACTACCTATTTATTGGGTCAAAGTATCCTGCTGTGATCTCCCTATATATCTTATTTTGTTACCTTTTCCCTTAAAAATTTTTTAGGTTAGTTATTTATTTTGAGAGAGGAAAAGAGAAAGAGTGAGTGAGCAGAGGAGGGACAGAGTGAGAGAAGGAGAGAGAGAATTCCAAGCAGGCTCCTTGCTCTCACTACAGAGCCGGATGCAGTGCTTGAATTCACAGACCATGAGATCATGACCCGAGTGGAAACCAAGAGTCAGCCATTTCACTGAGTGAGCCACCCATGTACCCCTTCTGCTACCATTTTCATGGGTGCCTTTGTCCTATTCTGATTAGGTCTAACCAGACAGATATATTTTTCCATCCCCTAAAACTAGCCCAACACTGGGAATTCATTTCCCTCAGATCAAACATCTTCACAGATGGGATGAAGGGAACGATTTCACTGCTTCTCAGAATTCCTATCTCATAGGCAAGGATGTTCTACTGTGGCTGTCGTGAGGAAAATTTTAGCAAAAGCCATGTGGGAAACATGTAGGAAATTTTTAGTGCCCAAGATGCAGATGATAGGAATACAAGATGCAATCTAAGAAGGAAGGTAATTAAAAGCCACACAGATAACTTCAGTTCATATTTTACAAATAATTTTGGGAACACTGGCTCACAAACTGAAGCCTACATAAGACATAAATGATATTTTTGAACATCAGCCAACAGGTATGTCAGTAATTTGTCCAAGAGAATGAAGAGCTATTGCTGTTTAAGCTTGAGTCTTTGCATTCATCTGTGTTTCCTTTTGGAATGTACACATATAAATAATGCCTTTTTTAAAAGACAAGAGTTAAGTCCCAAATTTGGACCAAGTAGATTTTGGATTCTTTTCCTGGGGAGCCATGGGCAAGCAGGACGCCTCTCTGAACTTGGATTTAAGAGAGAGAGAGAGAGAGAGAGAGAGAGAGAGAGAAAGGGGAAGTGCAGAGGGAGACACAGAATCAGAAGCAGGATCCAGGCTCTGAGCTGTCTGCACAGAGCCCAACACAGGGCTCAAACCCACGAACCGTGAGATCATGACCTGAGCTAAAGTCGGACACTTAACAACCCACTGAACCACCAGGAGTCCCTGATCTCCTCATCTTTAAATGGATCACTGCTCAATCTGCCTGATAGGCTCTTCATGAAGATATGATGAGACATGTAGGAAAAAGGGATTTTAGAGGAATACATCAACCAAACATTAGTTACAATCATAGAACTAATATCTTCTAGGATTTGAGGGATATTTTTTGTTAATGTACTTTTCATGAAAACCATAACAAATTAAAAAATAATGCTCAATAGTATATTACACACTGATTGGCACACGATAGGCATTCAATAAATCTATTCTTTATTAACTTATTGGATTCTATCTTCATGTGTATTTCCTTCTAGGAGGAAAATAATCCAGAATTGTCTCATATTTTCTCTTATCTGGACTTCAGACTCTGGCTAGGGGTCTCAAATCCTCTATCTACAGATATTCTCTTCCTTTGCACTGAACTATTTTGGGAGAGGAAACAGACCTTGTTTATTCCTAATAGTGTAAATTTTACTGTATGAAATATAAGGAAGCTACTGTCTTCACCATTTTAAACATTTTCCCAAGGAAAAAATTTTATCGTGAATTAAAGGAGATGTCTAAATAAATTGACTCTTATCCCGAAGTCCCTGAAATAACATTTTAATGCCACTTTCAAAATATAAATTTTGATGTGTTTTTTGAAAGGTGAAAAGAAAAATTTGAAGCGAAATGAAACAAAAAGACATTTGGCCCCCCAAAATAGAGATACATTCCATTTGTTCTTTTTAAATTTAAATAATAAAATAAAAAGCTACCAAAATACACCAACAATATATTTTTGTCGTGTTTTATTACATACAGATGACAATTATCAGATATTTTGAAATGGCCAGTTAGGCCCTTTGGATCTAGAGCTTTCAGTTTGCTAGAAGAACTTCCAGTCACAGTTGTTTGATTTAGGTTTTACTGTCAGAGGGAAACAGACCACTTTCTCTGTCACAAAGAGGGAACCCAGGAAGGGACAGAGGTTTTTGTTTCTCACTCACAGGTGATGGAGTTTGTACAAAGAACGCAGTGGATAATGGCCGGCTTGTCTTCTGAACAGATGGTGATGGCCTTGTTGCTAGGAGAAGGCCTCAAGAATTTAGTTTTTAATTCCATATTATTTGCCTCAGTGCCATGAATATCCCTAGGTTTCCTGAGGCAAAAACACAAACAAAACAAAACAAAACAAAACAACCACTAAAAATCAACACAGAGTGGCAGAGAGAGAGAGAGAGAGAGAGACAGCAAAGAGCAAAGACTGGAAAAATTGGGAAAAATGCCTGCTCAGCTGTCTCCAATCACCTGGGTTTGGAAGGCAAGCAGGAAGGAAGATTGGTTTGGCAGAAGAGCTGGGCCTTTGATGCCTTCGATACCACAGAGAAAAATACCCATTTCTTCCCATTAAAAGTCTGTTGACTTTCCTAATTAAGATAAACACGTTTCTGAAGGAGTTAGCTCATACAGCATGGCATTTATAAAACAGCTATATATACACACAAGAATGTTTGCCAAGAATTTGGGCTGATGGTGGTCTTTTGAAGCATTTTTTAGAAATATTTTAAAATAGTTGCCGTATGTAAAAGTGAGTGACTTTCATTCCCTCCAGTCAATTAAATATCTAATTTCAACTCTAGGAGATAATAACTGAAGTATTTTTTATAAATGAATGAACAGTTAGAAAACTGTTAAACACATAGCCCCGAAGCATGAAAAATATATTCATTTAACAGCTTTATTCTTTTATCATTAATTTACTTCAGAGAATTTCCACTAGTGTAATTTTCAACAAAATACTGTTATTTTGAAGTCTCCTTTATTGAATATAAGAGCGATGTATGTGATTATAGGCCAACAGTCTGAAGGCTTTTGGAACGCTGGATGCTGGGCTGTGAGTGAGGGTGTGGCTCAGTGTGGGGACAGGGTCACTCACCCCGCCTGTCAGGTCATCTGCCTGGAGATGGCGGTCCAATCAATCATCTACCACGTTGTATGTCCTCCCTGGCTACACTCCTTCCAGTAACTGATGTTAATTACTTGCCTTCGAACTATCTGGATACAACTTTGATAATTCAGTAATTGACTGTTTGATTTCTATGAATAATGTGACTGATGGCATTGTACCCAAGTCTTCCATTTGACTTGTGTCTCACCCTAAAATGTTAACGTATGTTTGCTGCCTCCCTACGCTTGGGTTCGGACTAAGATCAGGTACCTGCCAGTGCTGGGAAACCCAGACCTCACTCAAAATGGAAATGGTTCCGGAATGCAGCATTGAGAGCAGCAGCAGAAGCCTGTATTACTTAGGCTGTGAGCATCAATCACATGCTGTGACTGTCTTCTAACAGCTGTCAGTCATACTCAGGTGTTAATTAGTTGGTTTGGAGGGAAGTGATGCTATAGTTTTTCTCCCCACCACATCTCTAACCTCCGCGTTTACGACCCTCTGTAATTCTGCCTCTCCTGACAAACCAACGGGTGTTTTAGGGGCTCTTCTTGTAAAATGGCCTAACGTTTGTGTTTTTTAAATCCCTGCTCTCATCAAGATTACCTGTTTGGTATTATATATACCCCCTCAGGGCCTTTAAGTAAACTATCTGTACGGTCTGATTGATTTAATTCAAGGTAAGGTGTTAATGACTTATTAATGGCTTCTTAGATAATATCCTTGCTTTCTGGTAAAGATTTTTAATGATGCGCAAAAATAATGACTTGTGATTAGAATTCTAAATGCTACAGGAGAAATGGTAATAAGAACATGGGGAATGGAACAGATATTTTTGGCAAAGACGCTCTTTAGTATTTCCCGATGCATGTCATGTAGACGGCTGCCTTTTCTACTAAAATCTGACCAGCCCTGTTTTAGAGAATTTTTGCCATATTCAACTAACTATGTGTGTGTGTCTGGAGATGTGATAGACACTATAATCTGGCTCCTTATTTCTACTGGCTAAGACACGTTATAAAGTGTGTCCTCCAAAAAAAGCAGACTTCATTTAAATAACCGATTGTTTTGGAAGTGCCCAATTACTAAACTATACATTTGGCCAAATTTACTGAAAAAAATATTATGTCCAAACTTATTTGCATCACGATGTAGGAATATTTTAGCTCAAATTAATTTATTTCAAGATTTGCACCACAAACATTGAATCTTTACAGAACACATGTCCTTATACATTTTGCATTCATCAAGGAAATGTATGAATCAGTTTCACCTGATTGTTCAAGTCACAAGGGAATTTGATATAACCCTCTGCTTTTTGTTATTGTTTCTAATTTTAATAATAGAGAAATAAAAGCATTGATACCTAATTTTATATATAGAAAAAGCCACATAAGTATTTTCAAATAAAATCCTCCACTTAAATGTCCTTTAAATTTTTTTTTTTTTAATTTTGGGATATTTCACCCTGTAAATATTTCACTTTATTTTTGTTATTTCCAACATTTGGTGGGTATATGTTTATATCTGCATATGCTTTTCAGGTAGACAACTAGAATTTTTAAAGAGATGTTCATATTTCAGAGTTACCAGATCACCAGAAAGCTGACTTTTAACAACTGTGAAGTCCTGTTGTGTGTGACCTTAAATCTCCCCCTCTCCTTTTAAATATAGTGAGTTCACGCTGGCAGCAGACTTTAAAATGCTGATTTATGACTACTCCCACTTAACACTTTCAGGATTTGAATGACCACTAAGGCAGCTTTGTAACCAAAAAGGAAAAGTGAAAGGTCATGGCTGTGGCTACGGAAATCATATTGGGTTTTGTGGGACCAGTTACTTCTTGTTGAGATATTTTGATTGGCCAAGTTTATCAATGAGCATCAAGGGAAGGATTTTTAAAGAGATCTGTGGGGAAGAGGGAGATATTAAGGATAGAGAGAATAACGACGGGTTTTTTTTTTAAACTTCTTGTTTTCTCTACATGTACCCTTTTTATTTTTTGATTTTAATGAAGTGTATATATTTTCTGACAGCCACAAAAACTGTGAGTTACGGAGAGAAATGACATTGCTATTATTGGATGATTTCCTATCAGTACGCATCAGGGGGTCTGGGCATTTACAATGAAATTCAGTAATTGTACTTATTGCTTGGTGGGTAAGTCATACAGAAGGGAACAAACCGTAAAAACTGTGCCTGATAGGTTTTGGTGAGCACGTTATCAATCTGTTTAAGTAAACTTTGGTATTACCCAGAAGATTGTTCTCTGCTTATTATACTGCTAACACTGTGTTCAAATTGTGGGAATGTTCTGTCTTAAATGAACTTGCCGAGTGCAGATTTTGTAGGGATCTCTGAACAGGGGGTGATTTCGTTATACACCACAGCTATAGAGATTTTACATGCAGCCAAATGAGTTAAAGACAAAGGCTTTTTTTAGCTTTTTATTTATTTGGTCATGAAAGGGGTATACATTTATGTACAAAAGTGAATAGAGACTATTATTTAGTTTTGTATGGTTTTATGTCTGAGCGTAACAATTACTCTGCTGCTTTATATCTTGGCCATCCCTTACGAGCTTAACGTGGTACCTTGCATAGAAGAAAATAATTGATCTATGTGAAGGATAGTAGATTAAATCTAAATCTAGCCCAACTTTGTTTCAAATGCAAATTTGGCAAAGATGGTTGGGAAGAATTTGGGATTAAAATAAAAGCAGGAGTTCTATTGGAAAAGTTAGCATTTTATCCGAAATCAAAATTCTTCTGATTCACAGGGTATGGATTAATCAGAAGGGATGACAAAAATAAGAGAAAAGGGTGCCTGAGTGGCTCAGTCAGTTAAGCGTCTGACTTTGGCTCAGGTCATAGTCTCACAGTCTATGAGTTCCAGCCCTGCGTTCAGCTCTGTGCTGACAGCTCAGAGCCTGGAACCTGCTTTGGATTCTCTCTCCCTCTTTCTGCCCTTGCCCTGCTCATGCTCGTTCTCCCTCTCTCTCAAAAATAAATAAAAAGAAAAAAAAATTAAGAGAAAGGGATATATTGCCTTTAGAATCTGCAATTTATTGACTTCATTGTTTTAGAGATAAGACTGTAGGATTTGAGCATAATTTGGGGGCATAGTGCACCAAATGAAATCTTTTGAGATTATGACTAAGTAAAGTAGGTTCTGTGAGTATTTGAGGCTACTACCTGAAGGTATGAAAAGGAAGGAAGCATTCTTCCTACAGTGCTTAACCAAACAGGCAATTGCTTGGGTACACGGAGAATCTTGGCTCAATACAATACAGATAACACACCCGTATTGATATGTTATCTGAACTATATGTTCTCTGCTATTTTCAGCATCATTTTAAAGATTACAGAGATTGATTCATCTCTGTAATGAAGACATTGTCTTCACTTCCCTATCTTGCATTGCTTTTATCTTTTTCTGAAGAAAGGGGAGATAGTTTTATATTACTGAATGTATATGTTAGTATTCTGCTCGGAAAAACATAAGATCATTCTTAATGCTTTAAGAGGATGGATTATTTTTATTTTAGTGCCTACAGATTATTCTTTTTGACATTCACTTTTGCTCTTTGCTCTGAGTTTAGTACTATAGAGATAAGGATGAGGCAACTGGCAAAATAGAGAAGAAATAACACACACACACACACACACACACCTTTTAGAATACACTAAAGATTCTAAAAGTTTTATCCATGGTAGTTCAAGGGTTTACTCAAACACAAAATCCAGCCTCTTTCTGTCATCTTTCTCTAAGCCTTAGATTTTGGCTATGAAGATTTTTGATATTTGGTAACTCACTGAAGAATACCCAAAGGGACTCTTTAAGTTGGTACTTTTTGTAGAGAGCAAAGGCGGACAGAATAGAGAAAGAAATAACATTCAACACATAGCTATTTTCCAGGCTCTATGCTAAGTAATTTTAAATGCCTTTGTTTTTCCATTTATTTTTTGTAAGAGCTTTTCAAAATAGCTAACATGACCCTGATTCATCATATAAGAATATTGATTCGAAGAGATTAAATAATTTTCCCAAGTTCATAAGTAACAGGGACCACATTTTTTTCTTCTCACTACTCTCTCCTCAGTAGTTGGCACTTCCTTAATACTCATGTATATATTTCTTTTGACATTGTCTTCAGTTCCAAAGCCTGTGCTTTCCTCATTATTTTCCACACCACTATTAAGTAACTATTAAGCAAACTATGTGCCATTACTGAAATGTGTTAAGTTTGATCACACATTATTTAGAGCTTGCTTTATATATTTCTCTACTTGAGTTAATCAGTAAGGTTTTGGTGATAGCCATAAGCCAGTCATTAGAAAACAAGAGAAACCCTTAACCAGTAATTGTCTCTGTGGCCAATATCCAAGCCCTGTTCCATCTGTTAATTACCATCCAAGGGGAGCCTCCCCTCATCACCGTAGGATCAAAATAATCTGGTCAGCAGATCAGAAAATTCTTTTGGCTGGCTACTTTGACCCACAGTCTCCATTTTCCCCTAGCTCCTGCTACCCAATGTAGATAGATATGGGTGTCAGCTCCTTTGATTTCCCTAGGAATAGATGGGGCTACCAGCTTTTCTCCATATTCTGGGTCTCTTGTGTATACAGAGTTTCTTCATTTCTCCCCCTCTCCATTAGCTTCCAAGTTTCTTGCAGGCAAGGGCCAAATCTGAATGTTTTACTACTTAATTAGCAACATCTAATGCAGCACCCAGTCTATAGTATGTAGTTAATAGCTATCTTCTGGATAAATGAATAAGTGCCTTGCTCACTAGCTACTCTTTACTGTCAGAAGGTAGTAAGTGTGCCCTGTTACTTCTCCTAAATTTACCAATTATATATTATCCTTCTCGCCATGTTCATTACTTTATCGGGGCTGCCATCACAACATACCACAGACTGGCTTAAACAACAGAAAATTATTTATTTATTTTTTACAGCTCTAGTGTCCATGAGTCTGAGATCAAGAAGTTGGCAGGGTTGGTTTTTCTTAAGGTCTGTCTCCTTGGCTTGAAGATGGCCATC